GCCGAGTGCGTTTTGCGAGCATGGGGAGCACGGGGAGCATGCTGAGTGTGCTCTGTGAGTGTGCTGAGTGTGCTCTGCGAGCGTGGGGAGCACGGGGAGCGTGCTGAGTGTGCTCTGTGAGTGTGCTGAGTGTGCCCTGCGAGCGTGCCCGAGCTGCGCATGGGCACTGCCCTTTGCTCCAAGACCCGGCCTGATTGCAGCCGTTGCAAGGGGCTGATTTAGCCTTTACCTGCCACAGCACTCGCGGTCCCGAGCAGCGTTTGCCTCCATTGCGTAGAGCAGGGCGCGAGGAGCATGTCGCAGGTGGCAGCACGCGGATGGGTTCATCGCGCCCCACTGTTCAAAGCTGAAGCAGGACCACCTGCTCACTCTGATCCTGCCCTCTCTTTTCCCCTTGCAGGACATGTCTGCAGGACTCCTCCTTAGGGTCGCTGACACAAGGATGATGATCTCTGCAGCAGCGATAGAGTAATGAACCCAGCTATGCTCTGAGTCCTCGGAGGGGACCTGTCCCAGGCATAGCAGGGAAAGGACAGGCAAAGTGGTCTGGGGAATTTCTTAGCTTTTATGGTTTGGGCACTGCAGAGGTAGCTCTGTCCTGAAGGAAATGATGAGACTCCAGTAACGTGGTTAGAGAGAAAAGTGGAAATTGCACCCTTCCACCCCCCGCATTCAGTGCAGGTGTACACGGGCAATCGGCACACGCCACCACCGTCCACCTCTGCCTGTTCCTGCCACGCCACCGGCACCGCTGCCGGGGGAAGCACCGCTTGGCTGCCCCGTCTGCAAGCACAGCCTGCGGCTGGGGGGCCGGCGTGCCCGGCCCCGGCAGTGCCTGCAGCTGCCCACGGCTCCAGCCCCCAGCCCCGCAGCGTCCAGCGCCCCAGCCCGCTCGGCCCAGCACAGCCTGCCTGCTTCAGCCAGGCCCCACAAAACCTGTTCAGTCTGGGTCCCGGGGGCCAAAACATCTCCAAGCCCTTGCTGCTGTGCCTGGGGGGAAGTCAGGCTCCCGCCGCCGGCTCAGATGTACCCAGCACCAAGTTCACTGCCGGCTTGGCCCTGAACTCAGCCGTGGTGTTTGGGGGAACGTGAAAGTCTCGGCTTATTACGGCTTATTACAAGCAGCTCCTGTGCCGCTCTTTGTTTTCCAGGGATATTGAGCTCAGCCTGGCTGCCTCCGACGTGGGTCCTGTGCCGGTAGGTGCCCCCAGCCGCGCACCCCCCAAGTGACCGAGCACAGCCGCATCCCCTCCTTACACCGTGCTGCTGTGACTCGCTGAACACAACAGCCCGCGCCTCAGCACCGTCCTCGAACAGCCTGGGCGCTCTCAGCGGCACCAGCCAGGTTGCACTGCCCTAAGCCATCCTAGGCAGGCATTATCAGCAGGGAAATATTTACTTTGGGTGCTCGCTGCACCCCGCAGAAGGCAGAGGCAGGTCCGTGCGGGATTAGGAGGTGCCAGGAGCATCAGGACCCCTCTCTTGCTGGTCCCTGCCCCCTCCCCTTCTGCTTTAGAGTCGCCACGGGCGAGCTGACGGTGGGGTTCCCTTGGCAGGCTGCCTTACTGGAGGAGCTGTTTTTGCCCCCAATCCGTGAGGAGGTACCGGCTCAGATGAATGGTGAGGAGCCAGCAGTTTTGCTGTGGTGCTGCCGTGCAGGACGCACGACGAGGACAAAGGTGGCATTCGGCTGGCACTTTTCCCTCTTTTTTTTCTTCCTAGTGGTCCTGAGCGGAGGCGTATTCCTGCCCCACGTCGCCAGCTTTACCTACACTGACGTCAACATCGTGATTCACAAGGTAACAAATGACATTCAAACTGCCCCCGGCTGTGTTTGGTTTGAAGGGAACCCGGGAGCAATGCTTACCTCCTGGCTCCAGAATACATGGGAGCCTGCTCCTCTAGCCCCGTTAACCCGCAGAACCAAGTTTCATCGCTTTAAACACCCCGGTTCCTCTCTCGCCCCACCGGCACGAGCAATCGCCGTGCTGGAGGGGCCGCTGGCCTGCGGGGAGCCCCGCGCAGCTGAGCCGCGCCGCGCCGGCCCCTCGCTCAGCCGCCGCTCCTCCCCTTGCCCAGGACTACGTCTTGGTCCCCTGCAACCTCGAGCTACAGGAGAGGGTCGTGGGCTGAAGTCTGGTGTCCGGAGTAAAACAGTGGCAGAATTGTTCTGTTGACTCTGAAATCGTGCTTTGTGTTCGGTCACTGCTTGAAATGTCGAAAATCTTCTTTCTTGCCTCACTAAAACAATGCTTCCTCAGATTTAGGGTAATAACGTCACTGCACTAGCAGCTGTCTCCTCCAGTCCCGCTCTTGGTATTTTTGTTGCACCAAGAGGCTCGATTGTAACAATGTTGCATACTTTAATTAAATATTTATCTTTCGTACTGCATTTTCTGGTATGACTATTGACTTTTTTCCCCCTCAACGATTTGTAACTAAAGACAGATGAATTTTGTCTTGCTGAGAACTGGTACCAGTAGAGATATCCAGACCTTACATTTAATTAAGGGAGCTCGAAAACGTCACTCATTTATAAGGATGCAAAGCAGCCCCGTGCCTTTCAGCTGCGGAACGACACAGCCCCTCACAACAAGAGCTCTTTCATCTGCTTTTCCTCCGTTCCTGGTGTTACTATGGGAACATGGCGCCTGGTTTCCCTGGGTCAGAAAGAAGGGGAAAAAAACAAAAAATCAGGCTGCACAATGGTTTCTAATTTTAGACTTGAAGGCAGTTATATTTTCAAAACTGTACTTCTGACTAAGCTCATCACAGAGAAAACGCCGAGGGAAACGTGACCGCGCGGTAGAGGGGGCGCGCGCCCGCTCCAGCGCCCCAGCGGCTGCGTTTACCGATACCGGGATGCTCTCTCCTGCTGACCGAAGGCGCCTCCGCCCTCGAGAGCTGTGCAGCAAAGCACGGGGGGGAAAATCCCACAACAGACTCGAGGGTCGGAAACGGAGGGGTGGGCTGGAAACAGAGGGGTGGGCTGGAAACGGAGCTCCTAAAGCCGCCCGAGTTGCTCCATCGCTGGGTGCTGCCGGCAGCTGCCTCCGGACGGGGTGGGTGCCTCGCTGTACCGATGCCCGAGAAGAGCGCCCTTAGCACCCTCATTGCTGGCTTTGCAGCTCTCACGTAAGCTCCCTGAGGGTGATGTTGCACTTAACACCCCAGCCATGAAACCACATTAATTACATATACATCTGCTTTCACTTGCAACAGCTACACATATCGTTTCTAGCCTCTGGAGCTGCTGAAAAGCACTTCAAAGCCTCATATTTCAGAGACTCAGAAATAGGAAAGCAAACAAAACGAGCCAAGTTGATTTATTACAAGGAGTAAAAAACCCTGAAGGTTTCTATGCCTAGCTTGGGGACCTGACTAATGATTTTAATGCCCAAAGTTGGCAATAGCGGGAACTGCTCCTAATAAAAGTTCCTGGTAGAGCTGCAACCATTATTCTTTAACTAATATATCTTAAACCAGTTTCCCAAAAGGAATAAGCTACAGTAGTAAAAAGATGTATTTATTTGCCAGTGGATGTTCTGGCTTTAGGCTTTCCCGCAAGGCTCCGCATCTGCAGCGTGGGGCCGGGGTGACGGGAGCCCTACCTGGGAGCGGCCGCCGGCGCCGGGGCAGCGCGGGCTCACGCTGGAGACGGGGTCTGCTGCTCCCTCCTGGCGCCTAATTCACTGAGCCCCCGCAGAGCGGCACCCGCAGGGGACGGCCAGCGCTCTCCCCAGCAGTCACTCTGGGTTCACCTGGAAAAACAAATGCGGAAAAAAGCGTTTGTATTAGCGTCTTTGGCATAAACAAAACCCATCACTTTCCTGGGCAGTAGCCCCGGGTCCCGCAGGACACACGCCCTCCTTGCCGGAGGCAGACGCAGCAGGCCGTGACAGCCGGAGGGTTCAAATGCTGGAGAAGCAGAAGAGCCCCTTTGCCAGCCACTGCGAGCAGCAGAGGGATGGAGCTCTACCAGGGACATTCCCGGAGCAAGAGCGGGAGAGCCCGAAGTCCGGCGCACAGCCCTGGCAGAGCAGCCAGCCCATCTCGCCCCGCTCCTGCGGCTCACCCATACAGAGATTTTCCAGCATGTCAGGGTGCTGGCGTGCTGGAAAATGACCGTTTATAGTGGTTTGTCCACTGTGGACAGGATTGTCCCAGTTCTTATGAATTCCAGCTTGCAGTTTCCTGCTCTGGATTTACTCCTGAACCCACCAGGAATTCAGAGCACTAGATTTATGAGTTGCAGAAGTAACGAGTTACACTGAGGAGATGCTGCCCTTTTCTTTTGAAAAGGTTCCTCTGCTCCTTCCCACTCAGCCCCATGCGATAAAGGACACGACGGAGGCCAGGCCCCGGGAGGAAAAGCCGTTTCCAGATGCACAAGATGGCTTTCCCACTGTTCTGGGTCCCCGGGCTCGCGCAGCCCCTGCACCGGCTCTGCGGGGCAGCGAGCTCTGCAGCTACCTGCTCCCCGCATCTTTTCTTTCCCAAGTCAAGACCCCGGGACAGCGCCGGACCACAGACCTCACCGCAGCGTGCCAGCAAAATTAATCCCACCCCCGCAAACCAAAATGCACACGGCAGCACTGGCCAAAGGAGCGCAGAAAAGGTGCTGAACTTTACTTACCATACAGAAGGTGTTTGCTCAGGAACCAGAACAAAACCTTGTACAAACAAAGCCCATTATGCCAACCTGCGGGCAAAAAGGATGGATGGAGAAGCCAAGCCCAACCAGTCCGGTAACGCCGAGGTGGCACAAAGCAGCGATGAGCGCTCTGGCTGCACGGCTGCCAGCGCAGCATTACCCTGCCCGCTGGGTAACGGGGTCACACAGCCCCCGAAACCCCGCTCTGCCAGCACCACGGGCATACCGGTGTCGGAGAGCACGAGCAGCGGGGTCTGAAGCTCTCGGCTCACGAGCATGGCCCAATGGTCCACAGTGTTCCCTCTTGTTCTCACCTCGCTTTGCAGAAACTCCTCACCCACGCAGTTCAGCTGGCGCCGGGGCCACCTGCAGCACGCTGCTTCAGCAGGGACCCCACCACCGCGCAGGAGCATCGTTCCTGCCCAGGGACAGGGCAGGGTCCGTGTTACCGGCAGCTGAACGGCCTTTGGAGAGCATGGTCCCACCGGCACCGTCAGCCTGCGCGGGGCTGGGAACCAAAGGAGTCGTTCAGACTCGCCAAAACACTGGGCTTCAGCATTACCGCGTACTTCAACCCACCCAAAACCCTCCTGCCGTGACACAAGGCGTGCCAGCCCACGTGACGACAGCGCGCGACACCAGGTTTGCCGTTTGGCACAGCACAGGAGAGCTCTGGGCGGTTTGCCTGAACCGGGGCTGCCAAGGGGTCCAGCGCATCCTCTGCCGCATTCAGCGACTCCTCCGCGACATCTGGCTGTGGCGCTGGCAGCTAATGCACCAACCAAGGGCTCTGGCCAGGCGGGTACGGAGCCATTCCTGCCTTTCGGCAGCAAGGCAGAGCAGGACATCGCCCCTCTCCGTCACCCGATCGGCGCTAGACTCCTGCCGCGCATCGCTGTGCTTTCACAGGCAAACACCGCCGCCAGCTTTGGGGACAGCAGCAATAAGTAGCACGCTAGTAGTAACGCCTAGTGCTGGGAAAAGCAGGTGTGTGAGAGGCCATTGAAGACCTCAGATTTCTTTACTTTTTACCCAGAATCATTTGTTTTTCTGAAATCACAAATGCCCGAATCCTTTTCCCTGCGAGGTGCAGAGACCAACTGACCGTCACACCAGTCGCAGCAGCCGTGGACCGCTGCAGGCAGGTGGGTGGGCTCCAGTTCTATCACACTTCTCAGTTCCCTGGTAATGAAGTTTTCCCTTCAGATTCTATTAGGAAACGCTTCATGGCCTTTGGAAATTTGATCTTTCTGATTTCTGCTTGCGGATCAGCATTTGGTCGGTGGGTTACCTGGCCAGGAGTAGCCACCAAAAATCCAAGTGTGGTTTTTCTCAAGAAGTTTGAGTGGAAAAAGTTTTCAAATTGAAACCCAAAATCTGAGTTGTCCCAAAGGAACCAGATCCCACAGCAGGAGGCAGGACAGATACTCTCCCTGAGAAGCGTCAGAGACCAGAACCTCATTCCAAGCACTAAAAAAGGAGGAAAGTTTATTAAAAGAGTGAGATGCCAAATGTATCCTGAGCTCCCGCTCAGCACTTCATACCCTTCGGAACGCAGATGGTGACATTCACTTAGAAAGCCATAGGCAAAAAGTTCACTTTTTCACTATATCAAGAACAATTTTCCCTCAGAACAAATTTAAGAATTCCACTACCGCACCACATGCGACTGCTATAGCTGTGAGCCCAAAATCGTGCTTATTTCTCTAAATAAATATTTGTACACAGAGCTGCCTATCAGGTTTTGGCCTATGCAAGTACCTTAGTACTCACACGAGCCAATTAACTTTAAAGTGTCTCAAACGTTATCAAGAATCTTGAATGGAGTTGGGAAAAGAAAAGTAGATAATGCCGGTCTCGATGTCGCATCCTCGCTGGTCTTTCTTCCTCTCTCTCCGCCCAGAAGGACCCCTCCGCGCCTCGCTCTCCCAGCTCACACAAGAATCACCAGCAGGCCCTGCGGAAGCGCAAGGAGCGACACGGCCGCGTTACCTCCCGGCTTCGAGGGACGCTGGGTCACAGCAGCTTGCCAGCAACACACAGGGAACAGAAAACCCTCTTGCAAAACCGCTCACGTCAAATATTTAATGAGGAGGGCACAGGACCCTTTGGGAAGCGTTGGAGAATAGCCCAGCTCCTCTGGGACATCTCCAGGGTGCACAGGGCTGGAATTTGGTGCAATTCAAGACACTTTAATGGTGCCACTCGATCGGGCTTGGAGACCCCCTGGGCCCACATCAGAGCTGCTCCCACAGAGCTCCCCAGCCAGGAACGGCAGCCTCGCCGGGGGACCCAGGACGCCGAGGGGCTGAAGATTGCTCCTTGCGGACCTGGATCCACAATACTCATGGGCACGAAGCACTCGGCAGCATTTGCTGCCCTGAAGGAGGCCAGCAGAGCAACCCTTTCTGGCCTTTCAAGGCTTCAAATCTACAGCTCTTGCGCACTAAACCATCGCGGGCAGGGTCCTGTTACAGGAGCCAGCTGCTAGGAACAGCCCAGTGAGCTGCACCCGTGCCGTGCAGGGGGAAAGAGCCCTTCCAGACACTTACCGCTAATATCTGAACATCCACCTTTATTAAGGGAATGCCCAGCACGTTCGGCAGCGGGATCCCGATGCTCAGAGCGCCTGCAGGGGACAGACAGGTCCTTACACACCGCCGGAGGGGCGAGCCCAGCTCCCGCCCCGCGACGAAGCTGCTCCTGGGGAGGGTGACGGGAGCAAAGCTGCTCAGGAGGCACGGACGGCTGCAGCACCACACACTTTGGCTTTCCCTATGTTCTCTGCCACTAACTGTTGCCAGGGCCCTTAGGACTGACGCTGGGGTGGATGGGGTAAGAATAAGGTTGGGACTTTTAACTACTGCCTCAAAATGGGGGCTGCAGACCTTTAATCGCTCCAGCTCTCCTGCTACAGCTTTCAATCACGCACACACATCCCTCTCCCCTCCTCCGTCAAAGCACTCCCCGTGCTGCAGCTGTCCCGGTCACCTTACCATTGATAAGGGGCAGCAACGTTTCTGCCAGCAGGCTGCTGCAGTGTGGCTTCAAGTTCGAGATCTGAACCAGAAAGGGAACAAACGGGTGAGCGGCGCTGCCAGGCACACGACAGCGGCAAGCACAGCCCGGCACCGTGGGTGGAAGGCAGCCAGTCCTCGGGACTGGAAATCACTTCCCACTGACACAGCAAGAGAACAAATAGTCCCTCTTTTCTTTAAAGCAAATCTACTTTTCTTCCTCAATTTGTATTTGGTCCTTCCTTTGGGAAACCTTCTACCAGGCAAAATTCCCGCCGGAGCTCCGTGTAAGCTTTGCCCAAGCAGGGGTGAATAAACAGACTTCAGGCTTTACATTTGCATTATTAGAAAAGGCAGAAGGAAAAAAAAAAAAAGGCAGCAAAAGAAGAATTGCTACAACCTACAAAGTAGAGCAGCTAACAAGTAAGACCCTCAGGAGATGTAATCCATCACAGCCAGGACACGTTTCAGCATCAGACAGCGGCCGCGTGTCTCCCTCCCTCCAAGAGCCGCAGTGCACAGCGCTCTCTGCCCACCTGGTGAAGCTCAGGCTGGTACGGGAGACTTACGTTACTGATGCCAACATCAGAAGACTCCAAGGAGAGGGAAATGCTGCAGGGAAAGTAAAGCAAACAGCACGTCAGACACCAGGACGCCGGGCAGAGCTCGCAGACCCCTGCCTTCTCCTAGTGCCGCGTTACCCAGCCCGTGGGCAAGGGATCCCTGCGAGGCAGCCGTAAAGGGATCAGCAACACAAAAATCAAGCGCTGCCACGCTTGCAAAAGAGAAAAGAAAACAGGAAAATAAAAGCAATAGATCAACACTAGAAGCTTCACCCCATTTTTATTTGCTTGTAAACGGAACAGCAGTGCAGCAGGGCGCACACTAGCTCCGGGCGTCCCCTTCCCTCTCCCGTGCCCAGGTCATTGTTCACCTCGGGAAGGGAGCCAGCTCCTGGTTAGCCGAGAGCAGAGCCTCGAGAAGAGGCATCCAGCCTGGATTTAAAGACCATGAGCTCTGGAGAATTTGCTACAGCTGCTAATCTGTCATTGCAATCACACAGCTATCTCCATAGCTAAAACGTATGCTTTATTTCCACTTCGAATTTCTCTTTTCTACTTCCATTGAATCTTGTTATATCTTTGTCTATTGAATTAAAAGCCCTTTGATGCATTTCTGTTCTCTATATCACTGCATACAAGCTATGCCAATGTTGCTTCTAAATCTAGCTCTTTGACAAGCTAAATGGCTTGAAATCCTCAAACCTCACCCTAGAAGGAATGCTTTCCAATCTTTAATCATACCTTGACTGGCATTAATGACAGCACTTGCCTTTACTCCTTTATCACTCATGTCCAATATCAGACATTTCAAACTACTGCCCAGGCTCAAAGCGAAGCTGACAGTCTTACCATCATTCAGGTTACCTCATTTCTCCTTGTTCTAAAACTGACACAGACTTTTCCTCCAGTCTCCTAAAACTTTCCCACTGCTGTAACGTTTCCTGAGCGCCTGCGATACCTGCCCACCTCCCGCCACCGGCCAGGCAGGAAATTCTCAGATTCTCGAAATGAAATGTCCGTTTTACAGACATTGAAAAACATTTCAAGTTAGCGGCTCCAGACGTTGCAACGCAGGGAACGTCACCAGCCGGTAAGAGGGCAGCACAGCCCGGCTTTGTCGCAGCCGTCTTTGCGCAAGGCTCCCGTCCCTTCTGCCCTGCTCGGGCAGCTCCCGCAGCGCTGTGCCACCGCGGGACACACTGCCACAGCGCTCAGAGCGGCCCTGAGGAATCGCGGCCCTTCCTCTTGTCCTGCTCTCTTCTGGCTACTGCTTCCCAGCAAACTGAACCCAAGCTCCGGGAAAGCCGGCGTTTCCCAGCACGGCTGAACACCCAGGGCTGTCCCAGGGGAGCGAGCAGGCTGGGGCGTCGCAGGGGGCTTGGCTTCCAGCAGCCCCGCGGGCCAGCCTACCTGCCCAGGGACAACCCCAGCACCAGTCTGCCTCCAGCAATCGACACGCGGACGTTTAGACCGAGGTCCTGCAAGCAGACAGGGAGAGGATCAGCCCGTGGAGACGTCCCCATCCCAGCTGCCAGTCAGCAGCTGGCTGAACACGGCACCAGTTTGAGGTCTTTACATCCGCACTTACGGCCTTCAGGAGCAGGAGGTTGAGGATGTCTCCATCTAAACGCTTAATGAACACCTGAATCATGACCGAAAGCTCGACGGTGGCTTTGTTTTCTTCCAAGAGGATGAGCGGGTTCCCAACCAAAATTAGGTTAATGCTCAGAGGACTGGTCCCGCGGCAGGTGGAGCACTGTGGGAATCGGGGACAGACGGAGGTGGCTACCCACGCCCCAGACCCTGGCCAGGCAGGGGATGGGCAGTCCTCTGGCGGACTCTCACAGCCCCAGAACTCTGTAGGGCCCCCCCGGAGGCCACGCAGACTTTGGACAAGCCACCCCGGCACGTCCAGGAGCATCACTTGGATGGCCTCGGACCTGGCGAGGTTCACACAAACCCCCGCGCCAGCAGAAGTCACTCACCCCAGCAGGAAGGAGGGTCGCCATGGCTTCTTGCAGATGGCTGGCGCCGGAGAACTGTTGGAACAAAAGCGCAAGCACCCCGATGAGCACTCCAGCCGATTTCAGCCACACCGTCCTGCCGGGGCCGCCCTCTCCCACTCGTGTCCCTGTTCCCAGCCAGCTTCTTTGCACTCCTGCGGCCAGTCCCTGAGCCTTCATCCACTCACTGTCCCCAGTGAAGCCCCGGGCAGCTCAGTCACGCGCAGATCTACGTTAGGGCAGCATCCCGAGCCCGCCGCCTTCCCCATTGCTCCCCAGCTGCCTGGGCGATCCCCGGCCAGTCGTTAAGGTGAGAGCAACCAGCAGCGGCAGGAGATGTAACCCACAGGCCCCCAACATTGCCAGTCTGCAGACCCCTAATAGTTCCCAGTGGAAGGAGAGATCGGAGGTGCAGAAAATGCATACGCCTAGAGAATGGCATTGCATCTATGAAGTTTCTTTTCTCAGTGATGTTTTAAAGACTCCTTGAAACAGATTACGGACCTCCAGGAGTCCATGGCATAACCAGTGCACAACTGGTTTCAGCAGGTATCCCTGGGGGTGCCCATACAGAAACAAGAATAGGTGATCGTTGCACGTGCTATTACAGCTTTCTGAAAAGAGCGGTAAGGAGGCAGCGCTGGGGCTCGAGCGCCTGCGAGCGAGCACGTGCACACGTGGGCCCCGGACCAGCCGCGTGCTGAGCGCCAGAGGCTGTGCGTGCCGTGAATGCCATGCACGGCTTGCTCCCCGAGCAGAGCCAAGGTCACGCTGACGCGTGTCCCTTGCCACCTCCCCTGGCATGACATATGGGTGCCGCTACACTCACGACTTCTGGCGTGCAGGTGAAGGTCTGCGGCGGTATCTGGATCAGGAGGGACAGGGCTGCATTGAGAAAGCTCTGGCGCAGTCCCAAGACCAGAAGCTTGTCCAGCAGCGGAGGCAAAGCAGAGGGGGACGAGTCATGGGGGATGATGCTGCCTCCCACCTGCTTCACTGCACCCTGCAAAGAGAGGCGACACAGACGTTAAAGCAACCCTGCAAAGCCGCGAGGCATGCCCAGATCCTCGAGATGGAGAGCGCGGGGTCTGTGCCAGCTGAAACAGCCCTGCTCTCGCCAGCAGCTTAGGGAAGGCACTGGGCTCTGAGCAGTTCCCTCCATATTTAATAGACGAAAGGAGCTGATAATGGCCAGAGTACGTAACTGGGGCCTTCTTAACTAGTAACACGCTTTGGCCAAATCACAGCTCACTGCTTCAGTTCATCCTTGAGATTTCACTCCAAGAGCAAACGAGCGGTGAAGGTGCTGCCAGCGCAGCGGCCCCAGGCCTGCCTTCCCTCCCTCCCGCGCCCAGCCGAGGGCCAGCCATCCTCGGGCTCCACAACAAACCCACACCGATCCCATCTGCTCGCTAAGGAGCCAGCTCCGACCATCTGGGGGTGGTGGGGGCAAAGACCGACCCCGATGAGGTACCTGCGCTAAAGCAAGAGCAGCACCGCTGATCGTACAGACGGCAGTGTTTGTTATTAGCCCTTGCTGATCTTTATTGCTGACGTCCCAGTTGGTTCTCACTAGCCACTTTCTTTTATTTAAGCTCCCCTGTTTGAAAGTACTCTTTGGTTTTTGCTGTTTTTTTTTCCCCCAGTGATATGGCAGCAAAAAATCCATTAGCTTGGTTTAGCATTCACCCACCACAGAGACGGAATAGCGAAGGCAAAAAGCAACAACACCCAGTCTGCAGGCAGAGCGAGGGAGAGGACGAAAACTGCTTGTCCCAGCAGTTACAAACAGCAGAGGCGCAGTCTCAGGCAGCCTCAGGACAAGTTGGCAAACAGAGCAAAAGAGGGCTTGAAGAAAAGTACACACAGTCACTTAGTGGTGATTGGGATAAGGATCTAAATATGTAGCTAGCGTTTCCAGAACAAGCCATTAGCCCAGCTCCTCCATGTGCTGGTACTGGAAGAAGACCACTGCTCCCAGGGGATGAGGTGAAGAGTCTGAAAGCCGCAGTGACGCAGCCATGCTCACAGACTCCGGGCACCCAGCGTTAACTTACATCTAAATCCAACCCAAGGAACAAGCCAGAGGTAAAGGGCAGGCTGGCCAGCTGGTAGTGAATCGTTCCTGCCGTACCGACCGGGATCACCGCTTCACAGAGAAAAAAGATCGTTACGACTTGAGGAAATAAGCCGCAACACAAACTCCTGCCCTGACTCGCGGGCCCCCAGCCAGCCCTCACACCCCCAGACCAGGTCCCGAGCACGCACCGCTGTGGGATGCTCACTGCTACTCAAAATGGGCAAACCACCCCCAAATCCAGCCTTGTGGGATCTGCCTTTAGAATACAGCCCATAAAGAGCATCAGAGATAATAAGCTAAAGCCAAGGGGGATGTATAAAAACGGCGCAGGGAGGGCCACGGTGCGAGCAGCTCACTCGGGCTGCTTGGGCGCGAACTCGAGGTTCAGTAACGGTCCCGCAGAAGCGCAGCTCCTCCCCGGTGCGCCTGCGGGCTGGGCGCGGGACGGGGCGCTGCCAGCGCAGGGCAGCAGGGAAGGCGGGGAAGCAGCACCTCATCCTCCAAGAAAAACACACCATTGAGAGTGCCCAGGAGCTGGATGTTCACAAGGTTGACGACAATATCGACTACTGGACACAGCTGCAACACAAAGCAGAAATGGGACCGTTCAACCCCCCTCGCCACCCCTCTGCAGCGAGCCCACACCCCACAGCCTGATCAGACCCGCTCCTTTTAATCTGAATCCCCAGGGCAGGAGTGCTGGGGGGCAGCAGGCAGCAGCCGGGCTGCTGGGAAGGACTGGGGGGCAGCGGAGCATCCCTGGAGCCGTGGTACCGCACCACGGGGGACTGCTTTGATCTGGGGAATATCTCAGGCGTCGCCCGGCAGGCAGAAGCACGCCGGCAGCAGCCGGGCTGGCCACCGGCGTCCCTGCCGAGCGGCGCGGGCCAGTGGCATGGGAAAGCAGCACAGAAAGACGGCGCAGCTCGCTGTGACCTCGTAGCGCGTTGTTCCTGATACTTCTGCATTTCAGCAATCTTCAAGCTTACCAGGCCAGGCAGAGTCGCTGTCAGCTGCTTAAGCACTATCTCATTTACCGATAGGGAGAGTAAGCTGGAAAGGAAAGAAAAAAAATTTCCAGTCACTACAAACACAGCTCCAGGACAGGAGACCAAAGGATCTCCAGCCTTCATTTTACACACTGCTACGTCCTCCGTCGTCCCGTCGTGGAAGCTGCTGCAGCTAACGCGGGCAAGAGCAGGGGCCGCGCAGGCGGCAGGGCGGGCGAGGAGCTGCTCGCCTCCCCCAGGGCAGAATCGGGCCCATTTCTGAAAGCGAAGGCTTCAGCACCTGGGGCGTGTAGACGTCATTGCATGAAAGGAGCGAGCCGCTCACAGCGCAACCTGGGTTTGGTCGACTCCCTCTGGTATTTAAACCAGTGCTGTCGTTAAGGGAAGGTGGAGTTGTTATGAAATACCTTCATGCTAGTTATTGGAAACAAACAATTCACATGTGGAGTAACAAGAGGAGAAATCTGCTGTGTAACATTTCAACACTGCTGCTAAATACATCGCTCTGGGATGCGTGATGCCTGCAGGCAGCGCAGAGCCATTTGCTTTTAATAATCAATACATTTCTGGACTATTGAGTTAGAACATGCAGCACCACACTCGGCAAGCCACAGGCAGCAGGAAAAAAAGGAATTCATACTGCATCGTGTTATTTATGCCAAGGTCTGCCTATAGACGCATCTGAGGAACTGCCACGAGGTCAGTCACGTGCATCCACGCTGCCCCTCACCCCCAGGAGCTCGCTTCCTCCGCACCATCGCTTTAATCCTGCTAACACTTAAAATATGACCCCAGAGCAGGAGAGCCGTGTTCCTCTGTTCACTTACGCAGGCTCTTTCAAACCAGCTGCTGCACTGATGGAAATATAATGCATAATGCAAAAATTAATTTGGAGAAATGCAATGAACCTGAAAAGTGAGTAATTCAAAAGCAATAAAAGAAAACATTTCCCATGATCAATTTACGGCTGCATTCATCAATACATGAAGTCAGCAAATTCTTTCTGCCAGGAATTTAATAAGGACTGAGCAAGAGAGAGGACCTTCACAGGGAATTACACACACCCACCGCGGGCAGACCGAGAGTCCACACGCCCAGCACCTTCCTGTGCCGCAGCCAAAGGCAGAGTACGAAACCAGGGCAAGCAGCGGTGCCGCTCTCCTAGAACGCTCCTGCCCTGTTATTCCTGCCCTTTGGATACCAGTTCGCCAGCTCAGTCCAAAGAAAGTGCCCTGGAAGAGGTACCAAACCTCGTACTTCAGACCTTCCCATTTCCACAGGCAAACAGGGTAAATTAACCCTCGTCTTCCAACAACCACATTTTTTGCCAGTTCCACTGAAGCGACTGGCTTTGGCAGGAGGAAAGAAATTACTTCCCTGAGGCCTGGCTCTGTATCAGCTTAGCACCGTCTGTGTCCTGGCAGACTGTCGAGATCACTGGATAAAGAGAAGAGGATTACAGGCAATGGAAAACATAAATCCACAGGCACTTACCCAGAAAGGAGCTTGATCTTTATGGCACCAAGAATGCAGAGGCAGTCTTCAATGACGACCTGGACTGTGCCCGATTCAAAATTCGTGCATTTAATGTTTGCAGTAATGTTCACATCCACTAAGATATCAATTAGTTCTGAAAGAAGGCCAACCAAGCTGAAAAAAGTAAATGGGTTGAACAGATTTCATCTCTCAGCCTCTAACCAGAGAAACTCAGGAAAGCCAGAGGCAACAAACTGCACCTCTACCTCCCGCAATTCATTACAAACGCCACAAGGCATCGTTTGGTGCCTGTTCTGTGACTTTACTGTAGGTAAGAAACACCCAGAAATCCATAAAAGACGCAAAACATTGCACCATAGGAAGCCCGTGGGTAGGAGCTTCCCGTACCAGCCACCGCGAAACACCGCACTCACCAGTTGCCGCTGAGCTCCAGCTTCGCGGCGATGGTCAGCTGGACCCCGATCCCTGGCAGCAGCGCCACTGACAGCTTGGGGAGCCGAACCTTGACAAGGTGCAGGCTGCAAACAACAGCACAAGCTGGCACCAATTAAAAGCACCTTCTACCAGCTGAGCAGCTGTAGGCACCGAGGAAACCACGGCGCCCGCATCCCACAGCCACCTCCACGGGAGGCCGGAGCATTATAAGCAAGAGATACCAGCTCCAGGAGGAGAGACAGAGTCTGCAGCTGAAACCCAAAGCAGGCAACCTAGAACCAGGTTGGGGTGGAAGCCAACTTTATAGAGCAGTCAACATTTCCCCTCCATGGCACCTTCCTCTCTCCCTCAGTGCTGCCAAGCATCTCGGATATCACCGGCAGCATCAGAGCCGTCATTCTGCATCTGCATCCATAACCTGCAGCGCACTTCACCATCCACCTTGCTACCACACAGAAAACGTTTGTCAGGCCAGAATTTCAGTATCAAAGTAAAACGGGGATAACTACTCGTGCCAATCACGCCAGCTGCAGCTCAGCTTTTGTTGCTTCAGAATTGCTGCTCTAGGTGCACTCCCGGAGAAGCCCTCGCTCTCCACTTACCCAGTGATGCTGGTGGGAGAGTTCAGCAGACCCCCTTCACCCATGATGTTTGGGAGCACGAGGCCCTGGAGGTGCTGCTGGAGAAGCCCGTTCTGGAGTATGGCATCCGAGAGAACTGGAAAACACCTCTGCGTGAGGACCGGCACTTGCAGCAACGACCTCTCTCCACTCGGTCAGACCCATCCTGGCAAAGGAGTCACGCAACAAAGCCCCACCGCCCCCCAAAACTCCCATAAAGTCATCAGCCGTCTCAGTGCAGTCAAACCACACAGGGGATGATATTTTTATGATGTGCACCAAACCAAAGCTGCCCGCAGCGACTTAACCAGGAGGGGCAGCAGTGGAGACCATCCCAGACCTCCAACCTGGAGATCACGGTGCAGTTGTGCACCACCAGCAATGAGAGCGACCCCGTGCAGGGGGAGCTGTGCTTCAGCTCACAGCTTCTTTCCCCTTTGTAAAGGGGGTTGGTTTGTTTGTTTGTTTTAAATAGAAGCGACTTGAAACAAGCCTCCTTTTTCTGCTGGAGCATTGCAAATATTAACACGGCCGCTAAACTTCACAGCAGTTGTTTGTCAAATATGAGCTGCTCCAATATGGAAATGAGAAACTAAGACAAAAAGAGGCAATAAGCCAGATCTAGCCCTGAAATTCTGGCTGGCTGGCTGGTGCTGAAACGTGTCCCAGTTCTGGAGCAGAGAGATCTCCCCGACCCGTGAACCCCGCGATGGCTGTCAGAAGCTCTAAGCAAAGTCTGCAGCCCTGAGGAACTACAAAATAAAGATGAAGACGCTCAGAAAGTTTTACTCCACATCATGGTCCCACACAGCTTTCAAAAGAAACATAATCATGTTTTCTAGTTACCATTCTGCATTGCCCCTGGACTGACGGCGCAGGACAGACCGGACAAGACTTCTTGAGAGGGCGAGAGGAGGCCACAGAAAAGGATGATTCCAAAAAGCTTCAACATCGTCATCTCCAGAAGACTCCCCTGCTGGCAAGGGAGACATCAGAGCGAGACGTGGGGGGAAAGCCTCTAAGAAGGGATCCCAGTGCCTTTACGAGGAAAGAGGTCGAGCGAGAAATCCCTCCTCTACTCTTTATCGAGCTCAAGCAAGACTCTGCTCGAGCCTGGGGCAGCAGGACCTTGTCACGTCCACACGCATGGAGAGACTTCAAGTCTGGGTCAATAAAAGCCCCTTCCTTGTCCTTTGTGACTTGCCCCCAATATTCTACGTGGTCACACAAAAGAAAGCCAAGCTGCTTCCCCTGAACTGATGTTTAAGTAGGCGTTATTTCCGTGTCCCTTAGATGAAGTTACATGCGTTTTGGTAAGGGTCTTTGCGAAGGGAAGCACCTGAGGATTACTCTTGTTCTTTCTAAACTTCAAAAGCAATAAGCTAAAGTTCAAGTGATAAAAATAAGCTAACTATAAAGTTATAAATAATAATTATTAACATAAATTCAATTATGAAATGACAGACATCATAGGCAGATGATTAGGAGCTTGGCGCACTGCAAAACCTCAGCCTAAAGAAGCCAAGCCCTAGGCACGCTACGCGCGTCCTTCCAGAGCTGTACGGCGATAACGCTACCACCACGCACGTCTCCCCGCCAGCACGCAGCCTTCGCCAGCCCAGGCTCGGCAGCACGGACGATGTTATTACCCGCGTCAGCTGCAGCCAGCTGGGGAGGGCTCTGGGGTCTGCTCGGGCTCTCCTGCAAGTCGTCGAGACTCTGTGCCGTCCTCCCTTTTTTTCCTGCAACTGAGATGGAAGCAGTTGCCCTTATATAAAACCTGCAGCCAAGCAGACACACCTCCCCCTCGCAGCCTCCCGTCTCACGAGCAGGCATCCCTCTCCACTCTTGCTCTTTGCAAGCAACACCCAGCTGCCACCTCTCGTGATTTATACGAGGTAACGTCACCGCTGACTTGACCGGTTGCCGTTTCCCTTTGTGGCCTGGATCACTCGGACGCCGCCTCCCCCCCAGTCTCTTTTCAAAAGGATGCCCTGTAGTGGTGGTCCCAGTGGGGATCCCCATGCTCTGAGGAAAGCAACTTTTTAGGAAATCATGAGAATTACTGAAGCACCTAAATCTGACAGGAGGCTGATGGGTCTGCCTGTACAGGAAGGCAGCGCACAGAGCACGTGGGCACGGATTCAAGGAGGCTTACAGTAGGAAACGATCTACTTCTCCCAGTCCCCAAGGAGCTGCAGGACTTATAATGCTCGATCCTGTTTCAAATGCAACACGGGAAAGGTTTTCTTGACAAAAAGCAGGACGGAGAGGTTGCAGAAACCTGATAAATGTTGGCTTTGTTAAGACCAAGCTTCAAATTGATTTCAGTTGTATCTGTAAAGGGTAGCATGAATTGACTGTAAAAAATGAAGTTGTAATGAAATGTATAAAGCCAACAATAAATATAATTTTGAATAAGCAATACTTACGCTAGCTGAATGAGCCGAGGGCAGCAGAAACACGTATTTCAAAGGAAAATCTCATCCCGCAGGGATGAAAATCTCATCCCTCAGTGGATGCCTTGGCCGGGCTTCGCGGAAGTTTCCATTGTGCAGAGCCCCGGGAAGATCTTATCTGGGGACTTTGTTCGGGTCTGGTCACCCATGTTCAACAGGGACGGACTCGGATGGAAACTGGGCAGCAAAGGGCTGCCGAGACGACTGGGAAACCGGCAAGGGGCCGGCGTGCTCGGCCTCGCGGAACAAAGACGAGCAGCGATACGATCGTTCTCCACAAACAGAGGAGAGGGGAAAATACTGGGGAGGGAGAGGAGAGGAGGAGAGCTGCTCGGGCTCAGGGACAATGTTGGCACAGGAACAAACACAAGCCAATACGTTCAGGTTGAAGCTGCCACCGGCACGGCGAGTTTTGGGCCAGCTTTCCCGTAGGAATAGAGAAGGCAGCAGAAATAGCCTTAGGATGCTTGGGATATGTATTCTTGCAGCAACAGCGAAGTGTCACCACGCAGGAAGGTCCCTCAGCACGTGCTTCCGAGGGCTCAGACTCAGTGAAGCAACCCCATCACAGAAATGCCGCAGGCGCTCTTCTTTTATTTAACAGACTCAATCTGGACTGCATTTGGCGTGCTGATGACAGCCTAGTCCCCAAACCAGGGAATGAAGTTAGCCCCTCCGAGGAGGCTGGAGCAGCAGAGCAAAGTCAAAAACCATCTCCCCCGGAAGATGCAGCCACCCGCCGAGATCGCGGCTGCGGTGCTCGGTCAGCGGGGAGCAGACACGGAGCAAGGCTGCAGCCCACTCCCAGGCCCTTCACGGGTGCAGAGCCACGCAAGCGCGGGCCCTCCCGCCGCTGACCCCTCCCCAGCAAATCGCCGTGCCCGCGTCCGACCACCGGCTCTCACCCTGCTTTCACCGTCTTCTCCCCAGGTGTCTCAGGGTGATTTACGCTTACTGCTTTTATTGCTGACTCTGCTGCTTGCCCTAATGTACTTTTTCTGCCCTGGGACAACCTATCCGTGTTTATCCGTTTCTGTTCCCTTCCAAAGACCCCCATCCAAACGGCCAAGGCCAAGCGGTCACCATAAATGTCCACAGTGAAGCGTTCGGGAGACTCTGCTCTGGCCTTGTACATGCTACAGGAATATCACTGCTGGCAGAAGTCAGCTACTGAGCATGTACAAAAGCAGATTTCCAAACGGTTTCAGACACGCGACTGCGTGTGCAATAACCACCTGAGTCGTTGCATATGCACGACACGACTGCACGCTCAAATCGGATAATCTCGCAGTTAAATGGCACGAGGCAGACATCTGCCTTCATACCTGACGCACGTGCCTTGTACCAACGGCGGCGAGCAGAAGCTGCAAGGCAAGCGGCACGTTTCATACTCCGCCGTAGATATTTCTTCTTGCTGTGCGAGTTTTTCTTATTCAGTCGTATCCTTTGCTGCCCTCTCACGCACCTATATTTCATTCTCTCCTTGCAGCAGTGATTTAGATATCACTTACCAGGAGGCTGAGTTCCGTTCTGCAGTGACAAGGGAATATATATTAAAATGAAGCATTGCAAGAAATGCTAAAAGAGATTATCACAACACAAATGCCGGCAAGTGGAAGGGCTTACGGGAAGACCACCACCCGCAGAGGAAAGAGGCTCCAGCGCAGCCGCTGGCATTCGGAACCGCCCCGAGCTCGCGGGCGGATGGCAGGTGAAACTGCAACAGGAACTTGAGAAGAGTAATATTACCGTAAATAAATAGTATAATTTATTAAATATGATTCAATTCACTGATATTTCTTCTCTAATGTTCAGAACCAGAGAAGCCTAGGGAAAACTTAGGAGAATTGCATACATCTCAAACTAAAATGTTGAGCAACATTAAAGAACAAAACAAAAAAAAAAATCAGAATTTTTCCACCACAGTTTGAAGAACACCACCACCTTTCGATGACAAATGGTGGTTTTGAGACGTTCCAGAGGTCTGCAGGCTACAGGAAGACAAAATTTCTTCATTGTTATGTGGCAAATAGAGAAAAGAGTAACCTCAGCCCGTAAAACCTCTTTAATGGGTAAATAGTAACTCCTTAGTAAAAATACACATAAACTGAATCCTGTCTCTCGCGGTGAAAAGCCCAAACCTGGTGGCGTGAATGGCAGCTGTGAGGGGTGCCCTGTGCAAACGTTCAGCCTGCTCTCCCGCAGGGACGCTCAGTTCAGACGCCGACGGGAAGCAGCTCCCCCAATGCCAACGAAGAGAAGCTCGAGAGAAAGGAGAAAGCACTCAGGTGGGAAAACGACACCGCGAACCTCAAGCTAAACGGGGCCGCTAGAACAAAACTGGAAAAGGAAGGGGAAAAAATGAAGTAAGTTTTAAACGCTGACTGCACCTGGGCAGAGAACCGCCAGCCTGGTTTCCGAATTGCTGACGTTCAGCTTGGTGCACT